ATTACATGTTCCAACTGATAGGGATGTTCAACTCTTAACACAAATACTTTGCCCCATTTCATAAATTAGTGTTATTATTGTGTAAGAGAAAGTGAGCTAACCAGTGAATTTATAATCATATACGTTTCATTTTTAGAGTTATCAGAGGACTAGTGTATAAACCAGCAGAAAGAGACAAATGAAATTTCTAAGGCACATAATGAGGAAAGAGGTCTTGGAAAATTTGACACTCACAGGACATTGAAGGCAAGATAGTGGATAAGCAACACAAAACCTACCTAATGGCCCTCCACATCTTCCTGTCCCTTGCAGCTCTTAATAGATGTTACACACTGCTTTCCTCTGTCCCTCAATCTGTCCTGTGAGTATCAGGTTTTTCCAAGCTCCCCTTCCTCATTACCTGTCCTAAAAATTTCAGCTACCTCTTCCTGATGTTAAATATAAATTTCCTTTTTGTTTCCATTTTCTCCAAAACCTTGTCATTGCTCACATTTTTGGTCTATGGTATCCTCAGTATCTTTCTGTAGAACCACATTTCTGTTGCTTCAAGTTTCTTCTTCATCTTTGAAGAGATTGTCCACCTGATAAAAAAAAAACTGTCAGGTTTAATCAAGATGTATTGAGTGCTAAATATTCAATCATATGAACCAATCTGAATATGTCACTCTATGGCTTAGCTTCAGGAGAGAAGATTTAGGACTGTTTTCCACATGGAATAACCCTAAGTGATATGTTAAAGTGGTTTCCATTCTTTAATCCAAGGCTTTACATGCCAGTGCCAACCAGAGAGGAACAATGAAAATAAGATTCCAAAGTTGTAGGTTTTCTTTTGGAGTTTCTTTCTCCAAGGCAAATAACCAAGCTGAATGCAGAGATTTGCTGCCCCTACAAATGAGTGTTCCAACAATATGGCTGACCTGATTAGAGTTCTTGTGATTACTAACAATTAGAGAAGAATGTGATTTAAGAAGAAAAAAGACAGTGTTTAACAATATTTTGACAGTGTGTCAGTCTTCAAGTTGTTTAAAAATTGCATACAAGTTCAAAAGTATTAAAAAATACAAGTCTTTAACAGACATTGCTTGTCTTCTGACCAAAAGGTTAATTAAAATTCTTCTTCTTATATTGAAAATTCCTCCCTTACAAGCCAAACACCCATCAGCTGAGGTCTTCTTTTTCATTTCTTTGATTGTTGAAAATCTATTAGTTTATGAGGAATAATACAATCTTTTATTTTTTGACAGTTAATTTAAGCATGTCTCCAGTTTTTCAAGATTTAAGTTTTGCACCAATAAGAAAATATTTTAATGTTATCAGTTTACCAAAAATCAGTCTATCCAAAAAGATAAAATAGATCTTTACCTAACCATAGAAATTGTCATAAGACCACACACACAATTACACATAAGTAGCTTTTTAGTATAGTTGTGTGTAGTTGACATAGACATGTAATTAAGTCAGTTAATATTTTTTTGAATAAGTTAATTTTATACCTTCCATAATAGTCTATATTTAAGTAGCAGATTAACATACTTTATATCTATAATTAATCATTGCTGTTTTTAGTTGAGCCAGATTTTTAGCCAATTACTGGTCAAAAGAAATAATTAAAAACCTGCTGATTTCTGATGTTATTGTAAAAGTGGCTGAAATTTTAAGTATTGATTACAATATTTGTGGGCAAAGCAAACAATTGATTCTTTTTTATCTACAAATCAAACCATCACCATTTCTGTTTTATACAAATCATAAAAATCATGCCCTCTTTTTTTATATTCATTGAAGGTGTATAGATTATTGAAAATAAATCCCCCAAACAGAGACATTGCAAGGGTTTTATGGCCCCCAATTTATGATACCCCCACACACACTCTACTGATCTCAATTTTCATAAGGTAAAATTATGTACAATAATGGATCATATGCAATATAGGTTAACAATTCAACTAGAAAAATTGAAAATAAATACAATATATCTAAATATGAATTAGAGACATGTCATAATAGATCATTCCATCTTAAATAAATCAACAATGTTTTGTGACAAATCTTAACAGACAATTTTTCTTGGTACATGTTAAATAATTTTAACACTTTCAACATTATTGATAAAAAAATAGTGAATTTTATATAGCATTTTCCAGACTTAGCATGAGCAAAATAAATTTACAGATTTGGTCAAGGGAAAAATCCACCCAAAATGACATTAAAATCCACAAAAAAATTTAATCTTTTAATAGTCAGTTGTGGTTAGTTTAATTTGTAATGTATATAAATATAGGTAGAAAAAAAAACAAGTTAACAGAAGGGTAATTTATGAATTATTTTTATATTTAGTTTTTTTTATATTTGAAACCTAGAGACAAGCACATGGCTTCCATGTCCAAGTTATGTCTTTGTCATTTGATTTTTTAAACTGGGAGATAAATTCCTTAATCTTTCAGTAATAGATTAAATCTTAAATGCATTGATGAAGAAATGAAAGTATGTTTATTTAAGGACTAACATTCAAAAAACAGAATTCACACAATATATAATGTAATGTGTTTAAAATAAATGCTTATTTCAAGGCAATTTTTTTACTATGTTACTATTTTCAAATTTCATGTTTTAATTTTTGTTATTAAAATTTAAAATGCATCTCAGTTTTAGTTATTCTACAAGTGCACCCTGAAGTTGAAAAATAGGTTGAGAAACATTGGATTAGAGTCACATGCTTGTCTTTTTTTTTTTTTTTTCATTTTCCTAAATAAAATAAAAAATTCTGGGGAGAAAGTACAATGTTATGAATGTAAAATTGTGAAAGATTCTGTGATGTAAATTAAAAGCCACTTCTTGCCTATAGAGAGTGGTTGTGTTTATCTCTTTGTAATAAAAACAAATCAACAAATTTTCTCAATAGTACATATACACTACAGTTCAAAAGTTTGAGGTCACCCCTGGTAATTTTTTAATTGGCCCAAAATGTAGTTGTTTTGCACTTAAAATAAGAGAAAATTATAATTGATGGTTAAAAAAAGTGAGATATGATTTTTCATGAAAAATTTAATTAAAAAGCAAAAAATTTTATTAAAAGGGTTCTTGTCAAAATATCCTCCTTTAGCTTTGATTAGTGCAGGACAAATTTTTGGCATTTATTACAAAAGTTTCTCAAAGTATAAGAAATCTGTTGGATTAATAAAAAATACATTACTTTCTTTAGAAAATTCCCTTTGTTCACATTTGGATATGAAACTGCAGATAGGAAAAATTTTTGAGGATCTATGATGCGAGAAGTTTTGCCAAAAGGTAAAATTTTGGCCTTTCCTGACTAATTCATATGTATATATATATATATATATATATATATATATATATATATATACACACAACAAAATATATATATATATATACACACACACACACACACACAAAAAATATATACATATACACACAAAATATATATATATATATATATATACACACACAAAAAATATATACATATACACAAAATATATATATATATATATATATACACACACACACAATATATATATATATACACAATATATATATGTGCATACACACACAATACATATATATACAAATATATATATACACACACAAGCACAATACATATATACACAATATATATATATATATACATATATACACACACAAGCACAATACATATATACACAATATATATATATATACATATATACACACACAAGCACAATACATATATACACAATATATATATATACATATATACACACACAAGCACAATACATATATACACAATATATATATATATATATACATACACACACACAAACACATTTTAAATATGATATTGCTTATTAGTATAAACTTTTTTAGTAACATCCTTGGTTTTTTTTCATTAATTGATGTTAATTTCATTGTTTAAAATAAAAAAAAAATGTTTTTATGTACTGTTTAAAGAATGAAAAACTCAAACATGTGTAATTAGTAAAAAAAAATGATGTTTATAGTAATAAGATATATGGTGTACTGAAAAGTTCTTGCTCGTAACCCACTTTCCAAAAATCTGTCCAAATATTAAAATTTTGGATAGAAGGGCTTCTTAATCATCCTTAACTCCAAGAAATTTTCAATATCTCTTTATGTATATATTTATATATATATATTATAAATATAATATAAATAATTAATATCTAATCAAATACAATTTTCATTTAAAGTTTGTATAGTTGCTACTTTTATTCCGCTAGTAAAAAAATGAAATTCTAAAGGACCTTTTCTCAGGGCCATTTTTGACTACCAGTTATTTCTAATTATTTTCAATTAACCTGGTTGTCTGAAGTGTAAATTTTGATAAAAAAAAATTTTATTTTGATTAAATCGCCTGAAAGATATAATTTCAACTTATACAAATACAAGATTTAATCATAAATCTTTTAAAAGAGACAATCTTTGTTGGCTTTATATAAAGAATTTCATACACTTAGGGATAACTTGTAAGAATTTTTTGCAGTAGACAAAATGTTCTTTCCTAGTTTGCATATTGGACTTCTCCTCACATTCAAAAATTAGAATCAAAATCATGTCACTTCAATGATAGCTCTCCACAGCTTCCTTTTTTCTTTAATATCTATAAACAGCCATGATTGTTCTTAGAAAAGATAGTGCAATGGCTTGCTATTGCCTCTCCTATGGTTTTAAATTCACAGTTGTCCATCTCTTGGACTGATTGCACTGCTAACGCTAAAGAATCCAGTCTACCCTATTATTTCGCCCATAAATGTGAAGAGATGAGATAGATTAATGTTTTTTCCAAGTGCATCAGTGAAAACTGACTGCATCATTTTTAGCCAAAATTTGAACTCAGTTTGCCGATTTTACTATCGGTACTGCTGATATGACACCAACATATCCAGTAAATCAGATACCTCTGTAAAAAAAAAAAAACCAAAAAAAACAAATATAAATGAACTATTTTTTTATTTTTTTTTTTTTTTTTTGCATCTCTTTTCCAGATCTTATTCACTGTCAATCAAGTTACAAGAAAATCTCAACCATTATCTGATGATGAAAACATCTAGAAAACAAGAACATTTGGGAAACAAACGAAAACATAAAATGACAAAAACAATATTATAGAAAATAGAACACATTCTTGTAAATTTAAATTCAAAAAAAAAAAAAAATGACATTTTTTTTTAATATTTAAAAGTATTTTTAAAAATGAAATTTTAAATTTTAATTTATTTTCCTTTATTAATTAATTTTTTTCTTTACTGAAATATTTGATTTATTTTTTATTTTAGATCTAAAATTTTTAATTTTGAAAATAGTTTTAGAATGATCTTTTTAAAAAAAAGACTACATTTGAAAATTAAAAATGTTAAAATTTTTAAAACATTCCAAAAAAAGAAAGCAAATAAAAAAGAAACAAAAAAAGAAAGAGTTAACAAAAATAAAAACAAGACAAGAAATTCTTGTAAAATCGGATTTTAATAAGAATTTTATTTTTGCGTCTTTTAAACAAAAAAAGAAGAAAAAAAAGTTAATATTGTCTGACCATTACTATCTATTTTCTTTTTGTCTTTCTTTCATACATTTATGTTCTTGTATTAAATGAGAAAAAATAAATTTACATTATATTTTAATTTCAAGACAAAGCCCTGCATTTGAATGCGGAAAGAATGCAGGTTCCATGTTTCTTTCCTCATTTGCCAAAATGTTTAACCTTGAAAAAATATAGAAATCATGAACTTGTAAAATAATGTTGTTGATTTTTGTTGTTGTTTTTTTTTTAACTGTTTTGTTTTTTTACAAAGAAACACAAATTGTCTTAATAAATAACTTGTCTTATTCATTGATGTTGTTAGAAACCCTTAGGTGTACAATAAAAATAAAAATATATTTATTTTGAACATTTGACATTTGTGTATTACTTTAAAAACCAATGTATATTGATTATCCATCTTAATGATGGAAGAAGATCAATAAATTTATAAATAAAAGATGTGCAGAATAATTTATTTTATTACTACATTGATGCAAAGGTATTTGTGGCTTCCTTTGTGCAATCTTAGGGAAAACTTATTGCAATCTGCCCAGGACAGGTGTCTCAGCCTAACTTCTTTTTTTTTTTATTTTTAAACATTTCATCTTTCTTTTTATGTGCCATATCCTTTCAGGACGTAGGCGATCATCACTCTCCACTTCCCTCTATTCCTTGCAGCTCTCAACAAGTTCCTTCCCTCTGCTTCCTCCCCCAGACCACGTTCTGTCATCCACTTGCTTAAGCCCGCCAGGTATGTCATGCCTTGTTTTCCCTTGTCTCTCTTTCCCTCTATTCGACCCAAATCAGATTCTCCAGGCCTCATTATGTGTCCTAGAAACTTCAGCTGCCTGTTCCTGATGTTAAGTATAAGCCTCCTCCTTGCTTGCAACCTCTCTAAGTCCTCATCGTTGCTCACATGCTCAGTTCATTATATCCTTATCATCCTTCTGTAGAACCACATCTCTATCACTCCGAGTCTCTTCTTCATCTTTGAGGAAATCATCCAATGTTCGCTGCCTTAAAGGAGGACAGATGTCACATAACAACTCAGTATTCTTTTCTTTGTTACCAAAGAAATCCTCCTGTCTCGCAATACTCTGCCCAGCTTTTGGAATGTGTCCTTGGCCATCCCAATATGTTTATGGATCTCAGTGTCGCACTTACTGTCCTGTGTAAAAATGCTTCCCAAATATTTAAACTTCCACGTCTGCTTGATCCTAGTGTTCCTGACCTGCAAATCACATTTCAGGTTCATCCTCTTACTGATGACCATGCATAAGGAGAGAGAACAATAAAAGAACAGGAATTATGACAGTAAATAATGATATTGCATTTATATTTTTGAAGATCATAGCTGACAGGGAAGCAAGACGCCAAAAGAGAGTTCCACAAGTAAGAAATGCGATAAAAGAAACAGCATAGAATAGGAGTAGCTAAACTTGCTTAATGTAAGAACCACATACAATAAAAGTTCAGATGTTTGAGAGTAAGACATGAACAAAATTTATACATAGGTTTTTGTTACATGCATATTAATATTAAATTTACATTTTAATCCAATGGGGTCTCAATTCATACCCAGTAAATAATTATTAAGCTTGAAATTTTTCTTACTTACATTTTATATTAACTGTGATGAAAAAAGGAGCTCAGTCAACATATTTCCACAAGCTGCATATTAAAGGTCAAGAAGCCACATGTGGCTCATGAGCAACAGTTTGGCCACACCGGCATAGAACTTAGGGTTACATCTAGTCATTTCAACTGTAAAATGATGTGACTATGTCTCCAGAAAGTAGCTGACTCTATGTGTTATGCTTTATCCATACAAGAGTCTGATTAAACCAAAAATGGTGTATTATCGACATATCAGGGCCGGAACTGTTCCATCCTTACTTTCTGGCTTTGGTAGCATTCAAAATCATTTACACGTTTTTATGGGAGATTTCTTCTCCACTCTGCAGCCTCTTTCCCACATGTTCAATGTTGCAATTATATAGCTATTGTTATTTCCATAGCAAATGTTAAGATGAGCTCCACCCTTTAGTTTCACCAGTCCAGACCTTTACAACTAGGAAAGCATACTATTTCCATGGTACTGAATCACCCTTATTTCCAACATGCTCCAAATGTAAGGCAGAAGTTTCACTCTACATTTTTTGTGAGAACTGTTACTTTGTGAAAGACTCCTTAACTGGCTCTTACCCCTTGTATTGGTTGAACTTTAGTATAAAAAATATTGTTCAAACAAAAGTGTTTCTTAGTAATTTTATTTTGAAGTTCTTACATGAAACATTGTTATTTATTCATTTTTGACTATTATTTCTTTCAATTTAATTTCAGTGCTTTGTATTGCACAAGTAGTAATAGTAATGCTATTTTGAAATTCTTACATTATTTTGAAGAAATACTAGTCAAAATTTAATAATAAGAATGTTTTCTGTATTGAGTTTCTTAGACAATGAAATCAATGTTGAAACTTCATTGATTATTATAGTTTTAAAGGATTTTTTCTTAATTATGGATTCACAAATAAAATGTCTAATCAAGTCATATAATAATTATCAATCTGTATTTATATATTTTGTTGTAGCCTAGAGAGGCTTACTGAATGAGGAATAACTAAAATGGATGTTGGGAATGAAATGGTAATCTTTATAACATCAACGAAATACAATACTCGTCAGCAGCATGAAGTAGATAAACCACTGCTAGCGGCAGACTAAGCATATTACCCCCACTTACAATAGTGTCCAATGTATTTATGAGGATTGGGACATACCCATTAGTGTTCATAGGTATGGTATATAACATATTTCCTGTCCCATCTGTAGTGGGAAGGGAGGTAAATTACCTCGAGTTAGTAAATTTATGAGTGATTACTTCCCTTAGTTATTTTAATAATCTATACAAATAAAATATTTATCTGCCTTTAGACAACATTAGTTCCTGAGCAAAATGAACCATTTAATTAATCAGTTCTTTTATTCCTACATTTCTTAGATTGCAATCTTATCTGTTCAAGCCTATTATGTGAGGCACTCAGATGCCCATGTCTATTAAATGATAATCTTGCTTCAATTTGGTCTTGAGGCTTTGTCATCACCATCTTTGTCATTCTGTTGCTAATCTTTTTCTTCTGAGAGATATTTCCATTTCACTGTTATATGAAACATAAAATTTTTAACATGAACAGAAATTGAACCATAAGCAATTTATCTAATACCAGGATTAATAAATGAATCATAGATACCATTAAATATCTAAAAAAATATGAAGAGAATGGATAAATTAAAAGGTTCACTGATCTCTATTTTAGTTGTGAATTTTTTTATCTACACTTTATTGAAACTCAATACATTATTTAAGGACCTCCACAAAAAACATGATACCTAAGGGTTAGGATTAATTTTTAAAAATGAAAAATCATTCTTGAAGCTTTCTTTTTAGCTTTAATTGAAAGCTAAATGATTAAATTTACTTTTTCCAGTAAGCAAAATACTCGGGTGTATTGCAAATAGAAATTATATTGATTAGAACCTCAACTTCTTGCTCACTTTCAGAAATCATTTAAATTCAACCATTTTTGACACATTTGAAAACAAAAGATAATTCTTGGTTTTAAAAATCTTCCAAAAATCAAATATCTGAAATTTTATTTGAGGAATACTAGCTTATTTAAAGTATAATTAATCTGATTTGAAAAAAATATTATTTACTTTAAGTTTAAAGTAACAGAGTGATGGATTTTTAAAACAAACAGTTGCAACACCTCATAAATCACTTGATTAGGGAATTACAAGGTGTTGACAGTTTTATTATTGTTCTACAGAGGTCTTATCTGTTAAAATATAATTGAACAAAATGACAAGTGAATGCTTTTTTATATAATTTTTAAATACTCAGTAATCTTAAAAATCAGTATTTACATTAGTCGGACTATTGTCCTCATCTTTGTCGCCATATTTGTCACAACGTTTTGGCCATTGTACGCTCCAGCCTTCTTCAGTTGGTTGGAATTTCGAACTGAACCCTTTATTTCAATCCCTGGGGTAGACTGTTCTAGTTCCATGTGCCATGTTTGATGGTTATCAGTTATCTCCTGCTAATTTTCCCTCTGAAAAAATAAACATTGCTGAGGAGTGAAGGTAGTTAAAATAATAGTGGTGTCAAGGGAAAGATCAAACTTTGGAAATAACTTTTTTTTTTTTTGACATGAATGTTCAAGTTTGCCACAGGCTCTTTTTCATTGTTGACAACAATGCATTGCCAATGGCGATGACAATGTGGAAAAGGAATGTTCTTGTAACTGAAAACATGCTCTGTCCAATGGTGTTATTGTACTCCCTGTATCCATTGCAGTTACCATAGAAACAAATAGAAAATATTATTTTTGAAGCAACTCCTCATAAAATCAAATCATTCATCTTACTCTGCTTGAAAGAAAAACACACCTTAAAAGGACAGACAGAAGACATCAGGTGTAAATAAGATTTTAAAATTTAATAACAAAACCA